TGAAAGAAAATCAATCAATATTTACAGAGATACAATCAATTTTCCAAAAATATGCTGACGTCATAATATGCAAATTGAAATTTTGAGTTTGGAGGACGTTATGGTGACGTCATGAGTTAATTGAGGGTCAAATGAGACATGAAATCATATTTCCGACTCATAATCTATCAAAATATGAAAAAATATTGGGAGTTCCTTTCTATTCTAAAGAGTTACAAAGAATTTTGTATAGGCATGTTTTTGCTCATGTATTGTGGATAAAGATAACGCAGGTCCGCGCGCGCTGTCAACTTTGATGGACGCTCATTGCGTTATTAAAAGATAAACAAGTTATCAAAATGCTTGGAAAAATGTGCCAAATATGATGATAGAGAAATTTGGCGATTCTATGTTGCAAAATGCAAGTACGCGCAAAAAACGCGTGCGCATGCGCGTGAGCGCGATTTTTTGTCAAATCCATATGGCCTGAAACGTATGCAAAAAAAATTTGGGATGATTTGGAGCATTTTAAATTTTTGCGCGCGCGTAACCGGGCGGTCGAACGCGCATGCGCGCACGTTTATCGACCTGAAATTGACCGGACGGATATTGATCTTAATCATGATAATTATGAATGAGAAATACTTTTCCGTTATGAAGATATGATCATAAGTTGATTTTCACAAAATGGCGCCTGGATGACGTCACGATGACTTTCAGTCTTTGAAAAGTCACACAGTTCTAAGTTAGACTAAGATCTATCACCATTGAAAGATTCATGACAATGGCTTTATTCAATATTGAGATATCCTGCGAACAAATTCGAGGAAGAATAATAATAATAACTAGACTTTAATTCGTCACTTTGACGAATTAGGTGATACGCAAGCTATTTTTGTATCATGAAAGTTTGCTGATGATGATCTAATGATAATATTCATGAATACGATAATGACGATATTGTGATGATGATTTTTTGGTTTTAAATGACGATGACCATGATTAAAAGTGGTATAGCGCCCCCTTCAGGTAATCGATAGAGAATTGTTATATGATTAAACTATTAATTTACTAAACAAGCTCAAATTTTCGGCTGATTGCAGAGCCTACCAATCAATGAACTGATATTTCGACGCACTACATACGCAAGATAATGAACAAGTCTAGACTGGAATGTAGTATCAATCACCTCCCATAGGCATCAGACGCATATTAAGCAAAAATCTAATGACGTCATCAAAATAAATAAATATTGCTAATAATCTTGTGAAGAATTGTCTCAGCTACAACATATCAAAATTTAGAAGAAAATTGATTGAAAACAATGATTTTCCCTAAATATGTTGACGTCCTAATATGCAAATTCGTATTTTGAGTTCCAAGGTCAATATGATTTTTTTAAAATATACTTAATGGCCAAATGAGACATGAAATCATATCTCCGACTCATACTCTATCTAAATATGAAGAAAAAAAATGGCAGTCCTTATTCATCCGATGTACTTTTTATAGGCATGTTTTTGCCCATATATGTTATGTAATACATGAGCTAGAACGCACAGATATTTATCTTCAACGGACGCTCCTTCCGTTATTAATAGTGATAAAGAGCTGAACATGGTATCAAATTGTTCAGAAAAATATGAGGAATATCCTGTTAAAGAAAGTTGAGGGTAAATATTTTTCGTTCGGCCGTGACGAACGAAAACGCGCAAAAATGCGTGTTTCGCGCGATTTTTTATGAAATGCTTATAATGGCCTGAAACGTATGCAAAAAAAAATTAAGACGATTTTGAGCAATTTAAAATTTTACGCGCACACAAACGCGTACGCACATTTTTGCGCGCATTTATTGACCGGAAATTGACCGGACAAATATTGACCTTGTTCATGATAATTATAAATGAGAAATTCCTTTCCGTTATGAAGATATGATCATAAGTTGATTTTCACAAAATGGCGCCTGGATGACGTCACGATAATTTTGACTCTCTAAAAAGTCATGCAGTTCTAAGTTATACTAAGATCTATCATCTTAGCAAGTTTCATGATAATGGCTTTATTCAGTCTTGAGATATCCTGCGAACAAATTCGAGGAAGAATAATAATAAATAAATAAATAAATAATAATAATAAAAATCTTGACGAAATCAAAAGGTGATACGTAGACTTCGTTACGTATCACCTAACTAGACTTTAATTCGTCACTTACACGAATTAGGTGATACGTATGATAATGGTTTACATAACGAATAATGCATTACACGATATATTATTTTATGAAATGCTTCTCCCATTTATTTGCTTCTCCCATTATGATCTATCCATATGTCAAGATTAAATTGTGTCTCCTTGATCATCATGGATCTAGGGAAGATAGATTGAAACAATATATGACCTTCCCTGTGCAGTAACCAGTTACACATTTGACTTTAATTTACATCATGAAGAACACCTTTTGACGATTTTATCTTATTCAAAGAAATGAAAATGTAATTGATAAATGATTATCATCATTATGATAATGATGATCATGATGATAATGATCATGATCATGAGCGCGATCATGACATCTTATTGAAAAAATAAGGATTGATTTAGATAGCAAATAGTCTCAGCTACAACATACTCAAAAATCAACAAAATCCAAGCAGAAATAAAGGCGATTTTGCTCGCAAAAGACAGAAATGTAGACTCCAGATTTGAGAAAAAGTCATCTCCCATAGGGATTACACGCAAAAAGTAATGGATTAAGTGAAAATATAGGGTAATAAAAAAGTAAAAAGGCTTGTTTATGACATTATTTGCCATTCTACGTGTTTAAATAATCAAAGGAGATGGTACAGTGAAGGTCAAAAGGAAAAAAAAGTGAAGAAAAAAATTGTTGGAGACACCCGGACTCGAACCAGGGATCTCGAGGTTGAAAGTCAAGTGCGTTACTGATATACCAAAACATCTCCCATAGCGATAACACGTAAACGGGAAATGGAATTCTGAAGTCCTACTTTGCAAGTGAAATATGAGCATGATCCCGGCATATGATCACAAAAAAAAGTGCACACTGGAGATAGCCTTTTGTCTCAGCTACAACATACCCGAAGCTCAGCAAAAACTAAGCTAAAACAACGGAGATATTGCTCGCGAAAGAGGAAAATGTAGAATCCAGTTTTGAGAAATAGTCATGTGCCGTAGACAATACACGCAAAATGTGAAAAATTGACATGCCTCCTTTAATCGCAAAAATACGACATGATACCTTTGTCAAACTGGAAAATTGTGGACAATGCATTTGTAGAAAATTATCTCAGCTAGATCATATTAAAATTTGCAAGAAAAAAAATTAATATCTACAGAGATACAATCAATTGTCCAAAAATATGCAAACGTCATACTATCAAAATTTAAATTTTGAGTTCGGAGGCCATTATGATGACGTCATGAGTTAATTGATGGTCAAATGAGACATGAAATCATATCTCCGACCCATAATCTATCTAAATATGAAAAAAGTATTGGGAGTTCCTATCTATTCTGAAGAGTTACAAAGAATTTTGTATAGGCATGTTTTTGCTCATGTATTGTGGATAAAGAAAACGCAGGTCCGCGCGCGCTGTCAACTTTGACGGACGCTCATTGCGTTATTAAAAGGTTAAAGGTAATACAAAGTTTTGGGAAATTTTGAAAATTGGGTGGATAGTGATTCTTTACAATTTGGAAAGATTTGGATGCCCCTGTGGATGTATTATAAGCACTAGAAAATTTAGCCTCTAAAACACTTCTGCTTTCGAGAAAAATTGAATTTAAAAATTTACCGGTGCTCCCGGTAAATTTTGATAAATTTCAAATAGCGCCCACAGCCGTACAGTGGTAGCTGCAACCATGACAATCTCAGAATATGTAGATGTGATATACATATAACTTCCAAACGAGAATAGCAAATTGGTCGATTTTAGTCAAGAAACATTGTTGTATAGCTTAATTAATATCTTGACCTTGAGAGGGAGCTATACAACAAAAAGAGTGTATTATTTACAATTTCATTACTTTAAACTCGATTTCAACGACAACGATCACTGAATATTGTAGGATCGCATATGCTTCCAATATGTTCATTTGAACCAAATTCATGACCCCATACCAAAACTTTGTATTACCTTTAACAAGTTTTCAAAATGCTTGGAAAAATGTGCCAAATATGATGACAGAGAAAATTCGGCGATTCTATGTTGCAAAATGCTAATACGCGCAAAAAACGCGCGCGCATGCGCGTGAGCATAATTTTTTGTCAAATGCTCCATATGGCCTAAAACGTATGGAAAAAAAATTTGGGATGATTTAGAGCATTTTTAATTTTTGTGCGCGCGTAAACGCTCGGATGAACGCGCACGCGCGCATTTACGCACGTTTATTGACCTGGAATTGACCGGACGGATATTGATCTTAATCATGATAATTATGAATGAGAAATACTTTTCCGTTATGAAGATATGATCATAAGTTGATTTTCACAAAAAGGCGCCTGGATGACGTCACGATGACTTTGAGTTTTTGAAAAGTCATGCAGTTCTAAGTTAGACTAAGATCTATCATCATGGCAAGTTACAAGTCCATGTTTTATTTTTAAATTGTAATGAGTACTTTGCGAACGTAAAGTGAAGATCGTATAATGAACTCATGCGCATGCATATTTTGTATAAAAATTTTCTCATAAAAGTGTTAAAAAAAATATTAATTTCGTTTTCCGTAAAATACGTAGCTGGCTATATGCTGTTACAAACTTAGTCTTAATGTTGACAAAACCATTTGTATGTTATTTGGAACTGGTGAAAAGTTATCGAAATGTAATATCTTAAATGTAAATATATCTTGTGAACATATTGTTCAAAGTAATACCGTGAAATATCTTGGAGTGCATCTTGATACCAAGCTAAAATGGGTAGGTGTGGGGGAATTGGAGACCCTTAAAGGTAAAGACCAGTATTGGAAACTCCCCAATTTCGAAAAATGAAATGGAAGCTCTCATTACCGATCATGTGAAAGAATATCTGTATCTGTATGATTTGGTCAGCAAAATGTCCTTTCCAGACACATCCACGCTAACGTATTTGTAGACAGAGCACGCTGTGTGTGGGTTGACTCTAATCAAATTATTGGGTATGTTTAAGTAAATCGTTCTTAAAAGTGGTTAATGATGGGCTGTTTACTATGGAAGTTGGGAGGTTATTCCAGTCCTTGATGGTTGACACAAAAAAGGAGTCCTGGTAGGCTCTAGCTTTGTGGCGAAGTTGTAGGAACTTCTGGTTGTTCCCCCTGGTTTCCCTGGGATTCAGTTGTACATAGTCATACAAAGGAATGTCGACCAGTCCATTCTTCATTTTGTATAACATGCTGAGTCTCTGGTTTCTCCTTCTAGTTTGAAGCGATTCCCATCCTAGGTCTTTTAGCGCCTTGGTGACTGTGCCTTCTTCTCTACTGTAGTTGCTAGTACAGAATCTGGCTGCTTGTCGTTGGACACGTTCTAGGGACTTGATATTCTGCTTGGTAGAGGGATCCCAAGCTGACGATGCATACTCGAGAAGCGGTCTTACTAACGCCAGGTACGCAGTTGATTTCACCTTCTTGTTGCAACTCCACAAGTTCCTGCGGACTACATTCTGTATTCTCTGGGCTTTCTTGGTAGCTGCCTGAGTATGAGTATTCCAGCTCAATGTATTTGATATGTGAACACCCAGGTATGGATGAGAAGACACACTCTCGAGACTATGGTTACAAAAGTTATACTTGTGATGAGGGGGGTTTCTCTTACCAATGGTCATGGTACAGCACTTGGTTGGGTTGAAGTTCATCAGCCATGTGTCTTGCCAGCTTTCCAGTTGTCTAAGATCTTTCTGCAGTACGCTGGTATCTTGATCAGCTGATACGGCTGTATACAGCAAACAGTCGTCTGCGAACAATCTGGTTGTGCAGGCCATGTTGTTTGGTAGATCGTTAATGTACAACAAGAACCATAGTGGGCCGGTCACTGTACCCTGCGGTACGCCAGATGTAACAGATGCAGGTAGAGATGAATGACCATTGATGACAACTCGTTGTGTGCGGCCCATCAGAAAACTTCTCATCCAAGAAGTGATTTCTCCCTCAAGACCATAATATTGTAGTTTAGAGATTAGGCGACGATGAGGGACCTTGTCGAAAGCTTTTGTAAAATCAAGCACTGCCATGTCGACTAACTTATTTCTATCCAGTTCTTGGCTAATATCATTGATTGTGAGAATTAGCTGCGTTTCAGTAGATCTTTTAGCACGAAACCCATGTTGGAAGTCTGATAGGATATGTTGATTTTCTAGGTGTTTCATTACGTGGCTATGTATGATGTGTTCCATGACTTTACTCAGTACTGATGTCAACGAGACAGGTCTGTAGTTTGCAGCACTCTTCCTGCTCCCCTTCTTGAAGATGGCGGCTACGTTGGCGTCTCTCCATTCTTGCGGTACTATTCCAGTGTTGATGGAAGATTGGAACAGGTCTTGCAAAGGTGCAGATAGCTGCTCAGCTCCGATCTTCAGGAACCACGGTGGAATACCGTCCGGCCCTTGTGCTTTGTTGGTCTTCAGCGTGCTGAGCAGCTTTTCGACCCCTTTCCTAGTAATGTTGAGATGTCCAATCTTCTGGTAAGGGCTGTTGCCAAGGGACTGTGCTAATCCAGGAGGCTCGTTGGTGAAAACGCTCCGGAATTGTTCATTCAAAACGTTTGCCTTGTCTGTGTCGTTGCTTACAGTCTTCTCCCCTTGCTGGAGATCTGCTACTCCCGAGTTTTCTTGTTTCAGTTGCTTAATGTAAGACCAAAACCTTTTTGGCTCTTCTAGAATTGCCGATTCAAGAGTGTCCCTAACATATAAAGAACGGGCTTCTTTAATGAGCTTGTGGGTGCTTTTCCTAAAGGCCTTGAACGATTCCCAGTCATCCGGCTTTCCTGTCCTAACTGCCTTGTTGTATAATCTCTGTTTCTTCTTAATCGTACGACGTAGTGATCTATTGAACCATGGTAAGTTAAATCGGCTAGTGGAAAACTTGTGCGGGACATGTTTTTCCATTGTGTGTAGTATTGCACTTCTAATTTGTTCCCATTTGTCCTCTACACTTTTGTCTTGGTTCGTTTGAAAATAAGTATCTGAAAAGTCTTGAAGTGTCTCCTTGATACCCTGAGTATCTGCTTTACCCCTGAGGTAGATTTTCCTTCTTATCGGACGCTTCCTAGTAGGAGCTACTCTTAAGTCCACTATCACTGAGCTGTGGTCAGCAATGCCATCTGTAACAGATATCTTGTCCACTATTTCAGGGTTATTGGAGAAGATCAAGTCCAAGATGTTTTCTGTGTTTCCCTGAATTCTTGTAGGTTGGGTGACATGCTGATTAAGTCCCAATTCTTCCACTAGAGTGACAAGCTTATCAGCTGCTCTGGTGCTGTATCCACTCCTGCTGGAGACAACATGATCATCCCACGAGATGTTGGGTAGATTAAAATCCCCTGTGAGGATGACATTGTGAGAATTGATCTTATTTCCTAACCTTGTAAAGGATTGCGCCAGGTGGTCGATTGCTTCACCATTGCTGTCATTCGGTGGACGGTAGAAGACTCCCACAAGCAAGGGTCTACACCCCTTTATTTTTGTTTCAGTCCATAATATTTCACAATCAGAGTTAAGTTCACTGCAGTGCGTTGTAATCAAATCCCCCTTCACTGCTTGGAAGACTCCACCTCCAGTCTTTAGCTGTTCACGATCTTTCCTGAAGATAGAGTGGTTGTCTGGGAAGATTTCACTGCTATTAACCTCTGGGTCAAGCCACGATTCTGTTCCACAGATGAAGTCTGGTTTAACGGAGTCGATGAGCACTTCGATATCACCAGCTTTGGATCTTACACTCTGGCAATTAGTCAATATCAATTTAACTTTGTCTCTCTTCTTGGCATTACACTTTCTATTCTCTTTATTATGTCTCTTATTTCTTTTACTGTTGGGCTTGGGCTGCGATGCACCCACATCCTTCTGGCTTGCCGGCTGGGAGCAGACATTAGCATCAGCATCAGTATCAAGAGCATCAAAAAGGTTTTCAGTTGAGATTTCACCTTCGCTGAAGAATGAGTCTGAAAAGTTTAGTTCACTGCAGAGTGGGCAAACCCACGTACAATTGTTGGTCATAAGTGATATGTACAACTGGTAATCTATATCACAGCAGGCTGTGTGTAACCATTTATCGCAGCTATCGCACTGGACTGCGTGGTGATCCCTTAATACATTTCCATCGCACATACTACACGGGGCGCAACAATCAGAGCAATACCACTGTGCAGAGTTGGCTCTCAAGTTCGATAATTGCTTTTGCTTGACTCCAACACAACTAGGATGGAATAATAGTTGGCAATCAGAGCATGTAAGTTTGTTCTTGCCGATCACAAGTTTACTGCAAGAGCTGCAAGCCTTCGCTGAGCTCTTCTTTCTGTTGGAAGGTCGAGCTGGTCCAGGGTTGGGTTGTACATCCCCAGCACACATGATTAACCCCAAAATAATAGTTCTAGGTTGGGAACAGCTTAGATCTCTTTGACTAGTCTGGTTATACATGGTAACAACATGATCCAGGAATTTATTTCTGTTTGATAATCTCGAGTTCCAAATAGGATCAAATACATATCTTGCTGCCAATGCAGTGGTATCCCTTCTCGGCATGCAGAAGGCGTAATTGCATACAGCATGGTGGCTAATGATTGTCAATTTAGGTCTACTTACAGTCTGTAATCCCTTCTCCCCAGCATGAATATCTGTCAGACCTATCAATAACTTGGCAGTCACAAAGATGAGCACGGCCTTGTTGAGGTTGAAGCGGCGTCGTTCGGTCCCCATGACGTACACGTAAGCAATACAAAATGGCGGCAGAAATCCAAGATGGCGGAGTCCGCGAAAATTTAAAAAGTTAAAACTACACAAATAAACTCAAGCGAATACGATTACAAAACTGCAGATAATCAGTCTAAACGATTTATTGCACTCCAGATAAAAAACGCTATCATAAAATCCATATCATTGAAGCTTGCACATGTAGATATAATGTCGAAATGTCTCGTAGAAAAGGTTGCGGTGGTAGAGTAGATCTCCGTAGTATACGCTATTGCACCGTAGTATCGCGTAGGTGATCCACTATGACTCGCGAGCGCGATGCTGGCTACAAATTGCAGGTAAAAATCCTTCCAAAATATAAGTCTAAAATTCGAAATAATCACACAACTTAGGTTTTTAATATTAAAAGAGCATATATTGCTCGGTTAAAAAGCAGGATGGCAGTTTAAAAAGGCAGAATTTTAGCGATTTTGTTGAAAAGCTACGAGCGAAAGTTTTTTAGCGTCTATCCACACACAGCGCCCTCTCTCTTTGTGTTTTGACTAAGACATGATGATAAAAAATTAGCCGGGAAACCACCTACTAATTCATACATTTGGTAAATTTGTTTCTCTCATGGTCTTGTGAGAGATATAGGGTAGTCCCATATACATCTTTCTGTGTATAGTGCTTGTAACTTTACGAAGAATGGGCAATTTTTTTTATCATTTTGATGATTCCAGAACCTTGCAGATGCTAGATGCTAGATGCTAGATGATCAACCTTTTCTGATCGATTCCACAACGTTTCTTTCACAATGCAATCGCATGACCATTACTGGTCTTTACCTTTAAGCACATTTGCACAATTTACATAGACATGAAAAATGTTACACATACAGAAAGTTTTGTATTCTCTTCAGTAACTTCTTCTCTTTATTTGGTAACAAAATTGTGGTCATGATGTAACTGATTAATAAGATAAACAATGATTAATGACGTTATCACCAAAGGTCTCTCATTACAAGGGACAGTTACAAATCAAGACATTTTAAATACAATTTGAATGAAAATGGAATTGTTATAGTTAGTTCAAACAATTTTTGAAAGAGATACATGCAGCCAAAGAACTTACTGTAATTTTGAAATGATTTTAATACAATGTGACCCAAAATATTTCTGTAGTTTTTTGTTAACAGTAATAAAGGTGCTTTAAATTATGTTTAAATACTTTCAGAATAATGTTCTGGCAATGTGACTTTTACATCGATCAAACTCACAGTATAGAAACAACTTCTTAAAAAGAAATGCATTCAAATTAGAATGGTGACACTAACAACCAACTATGTTTTATGATAGTGCCTTTCAACATGAAATGAACAACTGGGGGGAAGTAGGCCCCCATCTTAGACCTGGTGTCCCCCATTGCCTACACACATTTCTGATCAGACACCATTTATAATGTGGATTGCAACACCCATTCACAATACACAATGGCCATAACTTTTCTGTGATGGTTGGCACACTTCATAAACTTCCTTTTAAAACTACTTTTTAAGAGCCACCCCTAAATATCTGCACACTCCACAACATTCAGTGAAAATTATGTTTTTATATCAGAGCAAAATATTACGATCAAAATTGATCAATTCTTGGTCAATCTTGCCAATTTTCCCTGAGAAAGAACACATTGTAGTCTTCGAAATGAAGTGGATATATGCAGCAGTGTTGTTAAAGGCCACAGATGGCACTATATCAATATTGGAGCCAACACGGACAGACAGTGATGGGTTCAAGCTTGGTGGTCTCCAATTCCCTACATGCACCTGTCTTACTCATATTGACGAAATGTGTAGAAAAATAAGTAAAGTTGTAAGTTTTTTTAGCTCACCTTTGACATTTTATATCGGATCCAATCTGAAGATGGTATATAAATCAATTATTCGTCCACTGTTTAATTATGCAGATATTGCTAATAATTCGGCAAGCAAGAAACACAATGACCGCTTTCAAAACTTAAAAAACAGGGCCGGTCGCATTATTTTGAAAATTAATCCTTTTAACCATGCTTCAAATAACGATATTCTTGTTAAATTAGGATAGAAATCTCTCAAATCAAGACGTAAATTGCATTTTAATATAATGGTCTATAAATCTCTGAAAAATTTGGTTCCTCCTTATTTAGAGGAGTCCTTCAAATACTGTAATCATCTATATTCTCTTCGATCACAAGGAAATATTAAACTCTCCAAACCACAGAGTGAACGCTGCCAAACTTTGTGTGTGTATAAAGGCTCACGTGAGTTCAATGACCTAACGTTTACTAGTGAGCTATCCAACAGCTTGAATACTTTTGGCAAAAATGTAAATTAAAAACATATATATATATGCTAGGGATGGGGGGGGGGGTATACTTCTCATATATGTTTTAGGTTTTATATGTATTTAAATTATATTTTTTTATGTTGTATATTCTCTTTGTTGTACAATAATTGTTATTATCTGAATTTCCTGGACTCCAAGGAAGAATAGTATTGTTAAACTAACAAAGCTGAATGGGTTATCCAGCCATTCACTATACCATTGATTTTAATATGAATAAGCATTTTCTTTATATTAAACAAAATATATTGTGATATGGAAAATAAATATAGGATAAATATCATGTTGAGATGTTTGAGATATCAGATTAAGGACAAAATAGAGTCAGTAGGAAAATAAATGAATACATGTAATTATCGTATTCGCATTAATTAATTCATTCAATGATGGATTCATATGTAACTGTAATAGATAATTTCGGGTAGGTGGTATGATGGTGAGAATTAACAAACTCAAGTATTATAGCATAAAATTCTTTTATTCCATTTTCAGGTCTAAGGTTGGTTGTTTTTAGTTTATTTTAACCTGTTAGGACAAGATCATTATGAGGGTTAAATTGTTGATTCTTCGTTCTCCGAAATGAAAACATTATCAGTCATTTTAATTCTACATTGTAATCTCAGAAATCACAAGCGCAAAAAAGCTTGTCGAAAAGTTGTAACAACGGCCAAATTGATTGAAAAACAATGTCGGCAACCTTCCATTGAAATTTTCCTGAGCAGCCTCGCATTTCATTAGGCCTTCCAGACTGACACACAAAAACAAACTAATGAAAAAATATGGTCGCCTAGAAAGAAAAAAAAATGTACCTGTTTAAGTTTGGGAAGCATATAATAATATTGGTTTTTTAAGTCGTGGAAGAAGAAAACACAGAAAAGTAAAATTTGATAGA